TTGTGTGTGTGTGTGGGTGGGGGGGGGGGTTGGGGGAGAGGCGTGGTTGTATACAATGGTCTTGGGAGAACTGCAAGAAAGTCTGATCCAGAATGGAGACATGCTAGAATCTTAGGCAAACAATCTTATACTATTCCCTGATGGACTCTATACATAGAGGAAACATCTTCATTACAAAATAAACTCATTGACATTCAGGGAGTCAGTGGAGTGACTGTAACGTAAGAGTAATAAGTTAATCAAATTTCATTGTTGTAAAAAGTCTTGCTACCACTAGAGAGACTATAGCATCAGGACCCGTTCATCATCCATACTGCAGGGCTGTGTTATTGCCCCAGCACTTTTTTCCATCTATCATGCCATAATCTTGATTTCTTAGTCATGAACGCCTTTCTTATGGAATTGGGATTGAATATCTCATGGACAGCCAACGCTTCAATCTGCAACATCTTCATTCTAAAACTAAAGTCACCAGGACTGTTATTACCCACCTTCAGTATGCTGATGACTGTGCTATCCTCGCGCACACTGAAGCTGATTTGCAGTCCACCCTAGATCTCTTCTCAGGAACCTATCATATCCTAGGATTTCCCCTCAACATTGGGAAGACTAAGGTGCTCCATTAGCTTGTCCCAGCATAAGTTGCCCCCATTCTCCCACAAATTGTCATTGGTGGTGAACCTCTGGAAAACATTGAGCATTTCCCCTACCTTGGTAGCCACCTCTCCCAGACAGCCAATCTTGATGTGCAGATTGAACATAGGATCTGTTGTACCTGCATATCTTTTGGAAAGTTGCTCCATCGTGTCTTTATTGATAGAGCTCTGTGGATGGAAACGAAGATCCTGTTCTACAATGCAGTAGTCACCCCCACTCTTCTTTATGAGAGGGAGACATGGGTGACATACTGAAGCCATTTTAAGCATCTGGAGTGGTACAAACAGCACTGCCTTAGGAAGATTCTCCATATGAGACGAGAACACCGTCGCACCAATACCAGCATTCTCTCAGCAGCTAACATCACCAGTGTTGAGGCAAAGATTATGAAACATCAACTTTGCTGGGCTGGTCATTGTGTGAGGATGGCTGATACTTATCTTCCTAAGCAGGTCCTCTTTTCTCAACTTAGTCATGGTGGCATAAAAATACACAGGGCAGCTGTACTGAATTGCCTTATCTGTAATGGGTTAATCAGTTCAATTAACCTAGTTGGCACCTGACCAGAAGGACCAATGGGGAAAGAAGATACTTTCAAATCTGGTGGGGGGAGGTTTTGTTTGTGCTCTCTTTGTTTGTTCCCTCTCTGGATGGAGAGAGGGTCCAGACAGGAAAAATATCTCCTAGAAAAATATCTGAAATGAGCATCTAAGATTACAAAAATTGTAAGTAAGGCAAGGAAATGTGTTAGATTATCTTTTGTTTTAGCTTGTGAATTTTCCCTACGCTAAGAGGTAATTTCATTCCTGTTTTGTAAATGGAAAGCAGAGTCAGAGGGGAATCCTCTGTGTTTGAAATCTGTTTATTTACCCTGTAAAGTTACCTTCCATCCTGATTTTGCAGGTATGATTCTTTTACTTTAAAAAAGAAACAAAATTCTTCTTTTAAGAACCTGATTGATTTTCAGTGTCCTAAAAACCCAGGGGGTTGGTCTGTGCTCACACTGTAACAAATTGGTTAGTATATTATTCTCAAGCCTCCCCAGGAAAGGGGGTGAAGGGGCTTGGGGGAATATTTTGTGGAAACAGGAACTCCAAGTGGCCCTTTTTCCTGAATTTTTATCTAAATCACTTGGTGGTGGCAGCAATTTGTCCAAGGACAAGGAAAGGATTTGTGCCTTGGGGAAGTTTCAACCTAAGCTGGTAAAAATAAGTGTAGGGGGTCTTTCATGCGGGTCCCCACATCTGTACCCCAGAGTGGGGAGGGAAACCTGACCCATGGTAAGAGGACTCGTGGGGGACAGAGGAAACACTACAAGGACACTCTGAAGTATATCTTAAGGGAGGCATTGACCCCACGGATTGGGAAGAGCTGGCTGGCAATAGACTGCAATAGCATCACATCATACATCAAGCCTCAGCCCATTTTGAAGAGAATCGCCTGGCTCAAGAGGCTGAGAAACAGCAAAGGAGGAAGGAAAGGGTACAGCATCCTGGCCAGCAGTTGTGCCCTTTCCAAGCAACCACTTGTCACATATGTGGAAAAACCTGTAAAGTATGAATTGGACTCCTTGGCTATCTTAAGTCTCATCAGTGACTTTTCTCCCTGGCTGACATCATTCTTGTATCGAGGATAGCTGGTGACAAGCATCAGGAAGGCAAGTACAAAGGACATTACACTAATTTAGTACACTTGCAAGAAGATGCAAAGAAGAGTTCCTACATCAGTCACTTGAAGCAAAGACTTAAATAATACTCTTCTTCAAATGGTAGAAACTAGGGTGAAATCAATGGCAAAGTTTCCATTTATTTCACTGGAGCCAGGATTTTACCCCTGAACTTCAGGGTAAGAAATGAGTTTCAACACAGAAAAATTGTAGTCCAGGACAGTCTCTGACTAAAGAAAAACATAAATCTATTCTCAGAGTGCAAGCCAGAACTGCTCACACCAGTGCTTTGGGCCAATCAATAACAGTTTTACTTTAGTTAGACAGCACCTAATTTTATCCATTCAATGCCAGATTTGAATCTGAGGTAATTTGCTAACAGGCTTCTAGGAAAAGATCCAAAATAAGATCCAAAAGATCCAGCTGCTTCCCCCACCCCCATAAGTAGGGCTGGCCCAGGTGAGAAGCAGTTTTGCACCTTTCACTACCCAACTCCCTATATTATCTTTCTTCCTCTCTCGTGGTTTATATTTTGTATGGGTTTATTTAGTTTATCATATTGGCATTAAGATTTCCACTAAGCAAATACATTTTAATGGACTGTGTCTTCTTTGGGTTTCTCCTTCCCATTCTAATCTCTCTAACACAAACTCTCTAGCTTTATCCCCCCTCCCCCATCTCTTTCTATTTTCCTCTCAAACTTCTTTTCCTACAGTGTATTAATTTGTCTTACCCTTTCTCTCCATCTACCCTACTTCTTCCTTTTTTATGTTGCATTCCTTCTTCCTCTCCAATCTTCCCTTCCTCCTTTCTTGCCCACATAATTCACATCAGTCCCTCCCTACTTTTGCTTCTCACCCCCTTAGCACTTATCATTTTCTTATAAACTCTCTCTTCCCCCCATGCCCCTTGCCCTTAGTCACACAGGCAGATATATACCTATCCACTCACTCACTCCTTAAAATACTCATCCAAATCCAGTTATTCCTGACATATGCACTCACTAGCTCCCTTCACACTCTCTCTGTCTCTCTTTCCTTACTTGTCTCCCTTCAGAAATACAGAGACAGCCACATCAGCCCACACTCACTGTCCCCTCAGTCACAAAGCGAGACATGCTTACCAACTGGGCCATGGGGTGGATTCCCTCACCATCAAAGTGGAGAGATCCTTTACCTCTCTGAAAGATTAGGGGTCTCCAGGAGACTGGAATCAGCTGTGCTCAGATAGCTGTGCTTGGTCTAATCTCAGACCAGACAAACCCTCTGAGTTCCAGTTGTTCACTGTGCTGGAGGGAGGGAATAGAGAGGGTGAAGTGATTTTTAGTGGAAGGAGAAGGAGGAGAAGAGAAGAAATATGACATAGGACACTAGGATTTAGGAAGGAGAGGGACAGAGCTGCAGTATGGAGAAGGCTCCTTTAGCTGGCTTGCTAAATTTGTATATTTTTCTTTTTTCCCCAATTCTCCCAGGTCACGCCACTCTAGATAGGCTGATTCAGACCCAGCTCATACCAGCTGATAAATGGTACAAGGTACAGCACATAAACATTCAAAAGAACTAAGCAGAGATCTCAAGTACACTGCATGGAAGACACTTTGCAGTACAGTTGCCAAAGGTAACAAAATGAGAGGAAGTGAACGTATTTTATTTACTAGCAATCATAATAAGTTTATGCACAAGGCAAGTAGTTTTCTCCAGGGCAGCTTTAATGTTGTTTATACATTAAAAAATTTACATTCCATTGAACAATTAATGTGATCAAGCAATTAATGACATGTGTTCACTTCCCAGATCCTAAAATCACCCTTGTTAGAAGCAAATAATTAAGCAAACAAAGAAACAAAAAATTACCAAGAAATAACTTTTAACAGTGAGAGGGGCAGCTTATCTCCAACAAATCAAAATCAGCCCATTATATTAATAAAATTACTACAACCTACAGGCTTCTGTTAAACACAAACAATTATGAAATTAATTAGAATGAATACGTCTCCATCTTACTCATTTCCCTTTCATCAGACACAGGTTCACGGGGCTTTGTCTGAGTACAATTTGAGGATTTGGCCCCAGGACAGGTACCTGTAATAGAGTACTATATCGACCTCTAAATCTAGCTCAGATTGCTCTCCTGGTTTTCAAAATTCTACATGGATGGGCTCTGTTTTCTGTCTCTTTTAGCCACCTACTTCCTCAGCTGTTCAATGTAATCCTCTAGTCTCACGCTCCCATGCCTTCCACCCTCCTACTGGTCTCCAGGGGTGTGGGTTGTTCTTTCCTGTCTTCTGTTCCATCTATCTGAAACACTCCCTCCCACGTTATAAAATGTTGTGTGTGGGATTCAGGGTGGGATTTTAAAAAGTGCTCAATGCTCATTGCAGGCTTAATTCTGCTCCTATCAAAGTCAGTTTAACCATTGACTTCAATGGGAGTAGAGATAATACAGCACTGAATAGTTCTGAAAGGGTCTGGCTTGACATCGCTGGAGACAAATGTCTTCTCTTGTGTCTGTAGAAGCAGTGCACAGGTTCCAGCACTTCCTTGTTCTGGAGGGATTGCCTCTTGAGGTCAGAGGATACAATTCCATTTCCAAGCCCATTCAGTCATTAGCAGCTCTGCTCTTCGGTACTATATACAGCAGTGCTTTCTTGTGAAATAGACACATCTTTATGGGATCACCAACTCAGGCTACTGGATTTGAGCCAGTGTCCTAGAGGTAAAAGGCTCTATATCCCCTTGCCAGTTTTCATTAGTTTATCTCTTTAGGTGTTTCCTCCCAACAATTTTGCTTGCCTCAGCCAGCAGCTGTCTCTGAACCACTGTAAATCCTTCGATTCTCCATTCCCTTTAAGAACACCTGCCCATCTCTCTCTTTTTTACCATTTGTAAGATTTGGCTCACTTCTCTTGGATGTTGTCATTTCTACTTTTCTACTTCATTGTTTTTTTCTGCCTCTTTTCTGTTGCTGTGCATCTTGTGTAGCTTATACCAGTGAAAGGTCACTGTAAAATGCTACCAATGCTACCAAATCAAAATGATGTTGGAAAATGGAAAATCAGGGCCTATAATTAAGTCTAAGATTTAGTCATGGATATTTTTGGTAAAAGTCATGGACAGGTCAGGAGCAATAAATAAAAATTCATGGCCCGTGACCTGTCCATGACTTTTACCAAAAATACCCCTGACAAAATCTCTACTTCGGGGAGTCTCTGCTGGGGGTGCCCTGCTCCAGTGCTGGGAGATGACTGCCCCTGGGGCTGCTGCTTGGGTGCTCCCCGGGGCTGCCCCCAGGACTGCTGCCCAGGCAATCTGCGGGACCAGTCACACCGGCCACTGCTGGAGCAGTCCCTGAAGCCTGGGGCCTTCCGAGTAGCAGCCAGTGTGGCTGGCCCCAGAGACCGCAAGAGCAGCTGGACCTGGGTTGCTCCAGCAGCGGCCAATGTGGCTGGTTGTGAAGTCAGCTGCACCGTCC